ACAACAATAGCTACGACGACCAGACTTTGGGCCATTATACAGGGTAGGACACGGTCAGTCTCTGCTGCTCTATTTATCATTCGCACCTGAACAGCCTCTTAGCAGTCGATGCACCCTACTTTGCATGTTCTGCTTCTTCAATGTTATCTTGCGAGACAGGATTCACTGTAATGCCCCTTTTACTTAGTGGTAAGGTCGCCCCAGCTACACATCCCCGGGCTTCAGGCTCTGGTGCTCCCTCGGAGATGCTCACAGCTGGTGTTCCCCCTACTTCTACTGTTACTTCTGGGACAGCCGCATGGGCCATGACTGGAGCATCTGCCTGGTTTTTGACGGCTTCTCCAGGTGCTTTCATGCTCGAAGCCTCATCTGACTCGCCTCCATCGATCGTTTGTGTGGCGAGAACTTTGTCTGCTGGTACTTGTGGCACTTCGGACTGTTCATCTCGATGCCTTGGCGGCAATTCATCTTCCCGAGGCTTCCGTCCATACACGACGTATATTCGCGAATAGAGGTGCAATTCTTTACTCTGAAAACTCTCACGGCATTTGGATATCAGGTTCTCAACCTCCTCTAGAGACATTCCGTCTGCCTGGAAGATTTTGGCGCTCACACCGTCAATCATTTCCAGGCTGTTGGCCTGCATGTACTGTCCAATCCGACGTTCTCGGGGATTTTCGGGCCACGGCTTGTTGGGAGCTAGTAGTATCTTCTCCGTGACATCTACAAAGCCCGTGTCGATAAGCAGCTGCTTGTAACGTCTGGCAATGAACATGTCTCGCCCGAATCGCTTCGCGCCATTGAAGACTCGCTGGCACCAATCCCACAGGGGCGACCCCATGAGAGCCTGCTGGTTGGCCTCGTCCTTGCCAAATACCCCCGGGTCGTAATCATGGTACTCGACCCACCCATCTGGTTGTAGATTGTTGTAAATCTTCTGGAGCACGCCGACGTGATCATTGAAACACGTCAACATGGCCCTGAGGTGGATATAGTCAAAGGTACGATCAAAGACCCATTCCTCCTCGATATCATCGCGCTCGAATGTACAATTCGAAGGGATGCTTCCTTCTGGCGGCTGTATAAGGCTCAAGTCGGTCCCTACGACGTGTGAGGCCGGGTGTTGCTGGGCGAACTCGATAGCCCAAATACCGGTACCTGTTCCAATGTCGAGCACCTGCTTGGGTTCATCGGCAAAGGGGACCCATGACAAGTCGCCAAAGAGCAGGAGACGCCACATCTCGTGTGCCAGGTCAAGGCGCTCTTGTTCGAGGGCATCATTGGGAAGAAGATACTTGCCCTCACGATAGCCATTATACGTCCTGCCGTGTTCCTCGACAGACGCCGGATCGGGAATCGTAAAACCCGTTGGCTTGCGATTACTGCCCGAGCTGTGGGAAGATGCTGACTGCGACTTTGCCGACACGGCCGATGCCGAGGCGGCAGAGTGCCCAGAGGCGACGGAAGGTTTCCGTTCCTAAGAGTTGCCGTCAGTTCAACGGCCCTGCACTTGAAGAGGAATGATAAAATAGAAAGACAGAAAAGAAAACAGTCTTGTAAAAGCTTACTCTAGTCTCCTGTTCTTGCATCATTGGCACCACGTGACGGGCTATCTACTGGGAAGGGAGGTAGGTACCAGTATGTAGTTGGCACCTTGACAATACTCAGGTACCACAGAATTCCTTCCCGCGAAACCAAGGCACGTCTACGAGCGCCACAGAGTCAAGGATGATCTTGATGATTGGATCTCCAAATAGAGCTGAAATGGTGTTTGAAGAGAAAGAAGAAAAAGAGTGCCCAAGGGTAAGGGGGGAATCAACGCAGGCGGGGTAAAATCATCGGCCTCGCGATCCTTCCTGCTCGCTTATACAAGTGGACAGGTGTGCATCCTAATCTAGTGCTCAACTCAGGCCTTTAATTTAGGCCGATAGGTAGCAGCTGGCATAACTCAATGAAGGTATACTCCGTATACTGCGGCAGCGAAACGGGTGCCCCTTGATGGACCAAGTGCGGACTTTCCAAGTGATCAGTCTACAATGATTTCTCTCCCAATAACTTGCAGATATGGTGCCCTCTTCTTTTTTTTTTTTTTCCTTTTTTTTTTTTCATTCACCCTTATCCTGTCCCGGAAGCGTCGGTCGGCCAGCGCGGCCAAATAATATGCGAAGCTCCATGTAGACCATGCCCGCTTAGACGTCAAAGCGACGCACTAAAGCGGTCCCAAAATCACATCTAATAACACTCTCAAATGTGACGACCTATTACCATACAGCCTACATTCGATCATGAGCTGGGGGGTTTTTTTTTTCTTCTTCCCCTAAACAGATATATAGTAACTCATGCGGCCATACCACAAACGGATTCTTGAGGTCTATAGTATCGCCTCTTATCGCTGCATTGCTTTCATTTGATATAATTTGATTGTGGTTTGTGAGGTATGGTGTTTATAAAGAATGCAGGTCTCGATGACTATACTGTCCACTTGCGGTAACTCGTCCCGTTGGAAAACGGACCCCCCGTGCCCCATTGGAAGCAGCCTCCAGTCGTACAAGTAAGATCAAACCAATCCAGGACGACCGTCTCGTTTGTGCTGATATCGTGCGTTACATCAAGAGCACTCGTCGCTTCAAACCAGTCGTTACCATAAGTATACTTGGTCCAGTTGGCTTTGGGCCAATTGAGAATGGTACTCGTGGGGACGTCGCTCAGCCCAAACACGGCGGTCCACTCCTTGACGGCCTCGCCAAAGTTTGTATAGTTGAGCACCTGGTCCGCCGTGCCGTGGAACAATTGAAACTTTGGTCTCCAGCCATCATAGCCCGGATAGGCAGCGTTGACGATGGCATTCCATTCCGCCGCCGTGTGAGTGACCTGGCCGGTGGCGCACGCGTCGCTCCAGACATCGTAGCCGTCACCCGCAAAGCACCCAAACGGGACACCCGCCCACGCTGAGCCAGCCGCAAAGACATCTGGGTACGCACCAAGAAGGACATTGGTCATCATAGCCTGAGAGTCGTTTGGGGTCAGCATTAGTATCTTTTTTTTCCCCCTCTCTTCAACTGGCGTCGCAAGGTTTCACTCCTCTTTCATCTTTCTACAACTTACGCCTGATGAGATACCCGTCACAAAGACCCGGCTCGCATCGCCATTATACTTTTCGAGGGTCCACCGCACCATACTGACGATCCCCAGACTATCACCACCTCCATCGTGCGTCAGGGTCTCATTGGACGACACATCCCAGCACTTGTCCTCGAGATTTGGACTGTCTGGGTAAATGACGATATAACCGTACTGGTCAGCCAGGTTGGCATACTGTGAGTAGACATATGTGTCATTTGCAGCCCCGTGGCACCTATAGAGTGCGAATTAGCCAAGCGGACAGAGGCGAGCCCAGAATGTCTTCGTTGCTGAACAGAGCCTGGTCAGAGGCCTTACCAATGTGGGTTGACGAGAATCGGTGGGCTCTGGGCCAATTGATCAGGCACATAAATGTAGAAGCCAACGTTTCTGGGGTTGGGTCCAAAGTCCTCGGTCACAAGCGTAAAGTTTGCTGCGCGGCAGACTGGTGCTGCGCTGCTGAATAGCGACACCAGGACTGTTATTAGACTACGAAGCCGGATCATGGTCATTTCGAAATTGTTTGCGCGAAAGCCGATAAAGAAGGTTGCGATTTGGCAGGAGCACTCAACAGCAGATGATGTATGCCGGGCCTCTTCTCTTTACTATTATAACTTGAAAATATCTAATACTACTACATGCGGCTTGCAGCCTCAAGTGTTTGCACAGCTCGCTCAAAGGTTGAGCCGCCGGGCATCGGGAGAGTAGCAGATGGACCACGGAGGAACAAGATCCGCAGCTACGGCGGGTTAGATGCGCTCCGCAGAACCAGAGATTCGGGGTACTATTATCAGAAATGCCTCAACTAATTGTCCCGCCAATCAATGATGCAGGGGACGGAATGAAGAAGTGACAGTGTGGGATAGTGTTTGATAATTCTTTTTGAGTGCCAGGTAACAGCTTGGCTGGGAAGTTATAATAATAGGTGTTGGGAACCATTACAATCAGCCCAGTCAGCCAGTATTGCTGCTTCCACAACAAATCAATATTTCTTGGTTACGCCATCAAAGTCACATTTACACGTTTTAACATTTAATTAAAGATAAATAATATCCTGGGATCACAATTCACTGCAACGTTTATATTGCTATGCCTATACTTATTATACAACAGCGCTCGTCGTCAACTAATTAGCATTTTTCGCCTCGCCTAGGCGCGTCGGCTGAAATATACTGGCTGGCTGACATTAATGCGCGACCCCGTTGCACTTTGGAGGGATAATTATATTGCCAGTATCTCCAGAAGACTATAGAGAAAGAGCTTTGCAAAAGTACAAAAAAAAAAAGGCGTCCCAGGAACAAAACGATGAAAAAAAGAAAAGGAACTTCTGGTTGTGTATGAATGTGTGCTTATATCAAGGAAAAGATGGGCAAAAAACTGGACGAACAGGTGATCGAAACCTGGACCTTCCGCAAGGTGCTATCGACGCTAGTCGAATGCAAAGCGGATGCTCTACCACTGAGCCATTCGCCCCGTTGTTGTTGAGAGCTAGGGTTTTATTCTAATATATAATGCTTCAATCTTTACGAACCTTGCCGAGTTTAGCTTGTTTTCCGGACTTCACCTATGCACCAAGCGCGGTCCTTGGTTCGACATTCAGCGCAATCCCATTTTAAAGATACTGGAATCTCTCTGCAAACGTCACTCAAAGTCTATGGCAGAGGAACTCTGGTCTCAAACAGAGTTCTCCCCGTGCTTTGTCGGGGTAATGGCCACCATGACCAGATTTGCACGCAGTTCTGGCCGCAGCTGCAAGTACAAAGCTAGGTAGCTGGGCGTCCGACCAAGAACCAAGAGTGTGAGTTGGGGGTCTCATATATGTCTTCCTTCTTCTTTGACGCAACAGACGGGGACAACGAAATAATCTAGTCTGCTCTTCCTTTAACCGGGTGCTTGCCCACGATGCGAAACAGGGGGAAGGTTATCTTGGTTGCATAACTTGATTGCCTATGATGAAGATGAATCCATGTGGCCGTGTCTGAAGGCTTACGCTTTTTGCGACATACACGAGACCCGAATTGGTAAACTGAGGCCATCATGGGCTGGCAAGCCCTTGGTGATGCACGACAAATGCATTCATATCATTCCTGCACACCGCCATATTCCGTCACCTTCACTTACTCTCTCTCTCTCTC